TGGATCACACAAGGGGGTTCTGTTGCAAATATCTGTCTCTGTCTTTGTCTCTCGTGGAAAAATGAACTTTTAAAACGTTTCATTTTTGGACTTCACTTCTCATATATAGAAATGGTACTAATGTTGGTGATCCTGTGATTTTACTATCATTTCACGTCGTTTAAAGTCTTGTACGCTTTAGGTGTTAAACATCAGGTCCTGCATTAGGCTACCTCCCTTTTACCCAAAAGCTATACCAGGAGGAGGATAAGCATTTCAACCACCGTTTTAGAAAACATCTGCTTCAGAACAATAACCCACAGTAAGACATTAATAAGCAAATCTGTATGTCCCACTACTGTGCTATCCCAAGCTGGCAGGAAGTGCCTCTCTGACTCTCGTGCCTCTGAGAATCCCTACTGCAGGGGCGGGCTCAGTACACGGCAGAGCACACGCAGCGCACCAGCTACTTCCTGGGTGTCTGTGAAGCACCCCAGCTCCCTGTGCAGTCTCTCCAGCCTTTGCTGCCTTTGCACGCCAACAGCAGGGGGGTGGCTGTCACACAGGCCACGGCCCTGCAGAGCCAAGAGTTTGCCATGCAGTCCTTCACACAGACAGCTGCCAGCCTGCTCTTGGAGATGCTAGGAAAACCTGGTGAAAGCTGAATTCCCTCTACATTAATTAACAAGAATTAACATCCTAATATATAAGAGGTTTCCAAAAAGCTCACAGAAAAATGTGTATTAAAAAAAAGCTAGGCATGGATTTCAAAATTTTTTGCACCCAGATAAACTCATACTCCAATTCCATTTTCCCACAAACTCTTTGAAGCACCCTCACATAGAGCTATAGACTGTGCCCCTCCCCGCCCCCGCAAATTCCTATGCTGGGACCTAATCCACGTGAGGCCATTCGCAGATGGGCGCCCCCGGAGACGAGGAGGTCACGAGAGTGGAGTCTCTTGAATCCGACTGGTGTCCTTGTGGAGGAGAGCCTGAGACCGCTCTTGCCCACTCTGGCTCTTTCCACTGTGGGCCATTTCAGACAGGACGACTGTGACCGGGAAGCCAGCTCACCAGACACTAGTTCTGCCGGCACCCTGACCTTGGACTGCCCAGCACCTAGAACCGTGAGAAACACATTTCTGTTGTGGATCCACCCGTGTATGGCACTCTGTTACAGCAGCTTCAACAGACTAATGCACAAAGGAACCTACCCCTAAATTCTCTTTTCTCTATGCCTCTATCACCTAAATTTTTCTTTTTTTTTTTTCCTCAAAAATGTCAAAGCTTTTATGAAATATAGACATGGAAAAAGTACTAAGTTTTAAAATAGATTAAAGTTTAAAAGTAAATTATTTACATCTGGGTTGTAGTAATACTGCATGCATATGAATGTTAAAAGGAGATACAAAGAGGCCGGCCAGTGGTGTGGCAGGGAGGGGGCAGGTGACACAGCCGGCTGTGTGGTTCGAGTCCCAGGCCAAGTGGCTTGAAAATCATGCCAGGCATATATACGTGCCCAAAATTCCAAGAGAATAAGGGAATATGGCATGGTCATCCCCACCAGGAGATATTTTCTCTCTCTCTCTGGTGAGCACACATACCCCATAGCAAAAAGAAAAAAAAAAAAACTACCAAAAAAGGCTTATATTAAAATATTTTAATTTACACATGAATCTGTTATCAAGAATGCAACAACTACACTAGCAATATCCCATGAAGATCATTAAGTATAGAGATTCAAGAATTTTAAAGCTGTTAAGTATTCAGAAGTCCAAATTCTACCTTTTTTTTTTTTTTTTTTTTTTTTTTTTTGAGATGTTTATACTTGCTGGAGAGACAGAGACTGACAGAAAGTGAGAAATCACTCCCTGGGGAGATGGCCATGCCACAATCCCTTCTCCTTCATTCTCCTCTCAGGATTTTGGGCACATAAGCACCTGTGCCCAATGTGAGTTTCAAGCTGCCAGGTCCGGGACTCAAACCATAGTCAATCACATGGAAGTCCAGTGCCTTACCAATGTACCACCTGCTGGCCCCCAAATCATTCCTTTTAAAGATCTAAATTCTGGCTGTTTGAAGAAATATATTACATATATCACATAAAACTAAACTGAAAGAAATACATAGAATTGGTTTATAGCAAACAGTAGCTTTGGTAACACCAAGGAATGCTCTAAGTCCCATCTAGTATATTTGGGTGAAAGTCTCAAAGTCAGACTCAGTAAACATTTTAAACTAATGTAAAGGCCTAAGTGGAGAAAAAAAAAAATGAGCACAGATGGATAACAAGAAAGAAAGAAGAATGAACAAGGAAGGCCAGACAGATAAACACACACGGGTATCACTGACATCCAAGAGCGCTAGAAAGAGAGGTTGACGTTCACGCTTTCACGGTGATCATCCACTTGCTATTTACTGTCAGCACTCGCAATTCACAGGGCGAACTCTTACCTGCCTAGGGTGCTCATCCACGGTGTCAACTTCCAACGCCGAAATTCGAAATACCGACAGCACAGACGTGAGCAGCACCTCCTCCCTCAAGACTGTAAACGAGTAACGGCACCGATTCCTACCTCTGTGGTCACGGACGCAGGCTAGCGCTGCCCAGCAGCCCTCCCAGGGACAGAAGTGTTCTCTGCCTGCACCGCCTAAGGCTGCCAGGCCACAGGTGCTACTGTGCTCCTGGACTGCGGCCGTAGCACTGAGGAACTGCCCTGCATCTGCGAACGCACACTCACACAGCCGCACGCGGCTGGGCGTGGGTCTAAAGTACCGCGAAGCTGAACGTCACAGACTACTGGAGCCTCTCAGGAGGGAAAGAAAAAGATTTCCCTTCCCTGGAAATGAATTTACTGACCTTCCAACATAAAACCATGACTTGACTGCGCTTTCGGCAGTAGCACATAAAACTCCAGTTTTCTGTACTCACACCTGCTTTCTTCCCACCCAGAGTAAAACACAGACAGCTATTCATTGTGGTACCACTTCGAACCGGCCACCTGTAAGACTTTAAAAATGGCTTCACCTGAAACGCCCTCAGAATACGCTTTCTCCCTTATAAAATTTCAGTCGAGACATCCAGAGCCAAGTGCTGTTTCTGAGAGGAAGAGCAAAGCCAGGACAGGCACTCGGGTAACCGGGAAGATGGCCCGCATGGGGGAGGGGGGGTGCCATCGAGCCAAACGCAGCAGGTGCACAACAGCATGAGATGCAGAGAAAGAGGCCAAAGCTACAGGTCTGGCTCCTCGTGCAAAGCGCTTGCAGCTGTGCGTGTTTCTGAATTCAGGGGTTCAGTACGTAGGTCATCCCTCCCATCTCAGACATCACGGGGTACCCTGGCAGGATCTGGGTTTTCTGCCACCCACGGCTAACATCTCTCCACTCCTGAACGTGCGCCTCCGGGCCACTCCCTAGCCCCTGCTCCACGTCTCACGATGACAGAGGCCACACTCGTGTGCCTGGCAGACGCGGGCTGAGTGCTCACTGGGCGCCGAGCACTGTTCTGGGAGTCGAGCACATTCCACTTGAAGGGCTCTGTCTCCTCAATCCGCTGTCCACTTCCAGGACTCCCCACCTCGGGAGACAGAGCTTCCACCTACCCAGTCAAGCCAGAACCCACGAGTCGCCCTCTACACCCCATTTTCTCCCTGCACGTCCCACCAATCCCTCCTGAATCTCTCTCCAATGTATTCACTTCATCTTTCCATCATTACCACCTATAAACTAGGCCAGTGGTTCTATTTTCTAAAAAACAACAAAAAAAGTGTATTTATCTTACAAGTTGTGGAGTAGGAGGAGGAGGAAGAGGGGCAGACAGACAGACAGACAGACAAGCATCCCAACCTCGGCCAGCCTGGATCACACACAGGGAGGCCCCGGGATGCAAACTCACAACCTTCGTATATGGGCTGGTGTCAACGTTACTATTGCAGCTCTCAGCTAGTGGTTCTTAATGGAACACAACAGTGCCCCCTAAGGAACATGTAAAAGGATGTGGAGACACTTATGGTTGGCACAGGCTGGGGCTGCTTCCAGCATCTACCCAGTAGAAGCCAGCGTTCCTCCCACATATCCTCAGGTGCGCACACAGGCCCAAGACCCTGACGAGCCAGAGGGCCGGGGAAAGGGACATGTGGCAGGACTGGGCCTGCTGAGCACGCTGCTCACTCGCTCTCTCTCACAGCACACACACGCTTTCTCTCACAGCACACGCACGCCCTCTGTCACGGCACACGCACGCTCTCTCTCACGGCACACACACTCTCTCTCATGGCACACGCACGCCCTCTCTCATGGCACACGCACGCTCTCTCTCACAGCACACGCACGCCCTCTCTCATGGCACACGCACGCTCTCTCTCATGGCACACGCACACTCTCACAAACACACATGCTCTCTAGCACACACACACACTCTCTAGCATGCACAAGGTAGATAAGACTTTAGGGCCAGCTCGATGGCACAGTAGATGCACTGCTCCAGAGAAGATGGTTTCCCCATGGTGACTCTGGTTCGAATCCCCAGTCCGGTTGGCCTGAAACACAGTGGGCATGTATGCAGGTGCCTGGGAGCTAAGGAACTGGAAAGCTGAGGGAAGGGGATCATGGCATGAACAGGCTTTGGGGAGCACTCCGAGCACACTCACATGTGTGTCCATGTGGTTTTTTTGTGAACAGACAATAAATAAATAACTTTAAAAACTGAACAGCAACCCAAACAAAAAACATACTGCAATATATAGGCCAGTCCTGCACATCGGAGAACCTTCTGTCCTAAACTGCCGACAAGGCCGGGGCTGAGAAGCTACTTGAGGCAAACAGAACAGAGACACGGGCCGCTGGCCTCCCTTTCCTGAAGCTGAAGTGAGACCCAACGCCAGGGCTGGACTCTGCCTTCGCCTCCGTCTTTGTGGTAACTCTTCCTTTAGAGACCACCACCGGTCAGAATAAAGGAGATTCTGTCTTGAGCCGACCCCGCCGAGCGAGCGCGGACTTCCCTGCGCAAGGGACACTTACTTGTGCATGCTCTCCACTCCCATGAGGACCATGATGCAGTAGGAGACCCCACTTTGCACAAGGAAATGTAGGGCGTACCTGCAAGAAGGGAGAGCCTGTCAGACGGGGACGCCAGGCACAAACATCGACCTGAAATAACGCACGCTAAAAGTGCTTACGTGTGACACGGGGAAAGGGTGATGCGGGAAAACAGCCAGAGCCCGAAATCTGGTGAACACCCTGGACAGGGCGTCCCACGCCACAGGCCCCAGAGGAGGAAAAGCAAGCCCACCCCCCAAGGCGAAGCTCAGTGCTCCGCATTCCACGTCTCCATGCGCTGCGTCGCGTGGCTATGCAGCTCACGGATTAGAGCGTTCTTCATAACCTGGGCACGATGATTTAAAAAAGGGGGGTAAAAAAGGATTTCACAAGGTCCCGACAGAACATCAGCTGTTTTCCCAAACTCATTTTTCCAACAGCAGGACCGTGCTCTGCCTTTCTCGTTTAACACGACTACTCACAAAACAAGAGGTAATAAATGTCAGAGTTACTAAAAATGCTCAAGCCAAACAAAACCCCTCATGTAAATCTCGCCATTTGTGACTGCTGTCATATACCAGCAAAACACCGTGGCTGACGTGACTCAGGCTTCTCTAATATTCTACCGTAGAAACCCGCCATTAAATGGGAGGACCAATTTATCTATTCATTGCACAGAATTTGGGCAAAAGATCATTGAGATCTCTGGGATTAAAATCAATCTAAACAGGCCCCGAGCTGAGGCACATCCGCACACACCAACACACCCGCCTCCCTCGCTCTTAATTTTCTTTCTTCTTTGGCAGCACTAACAATTTATGATAAAAATTTCAAATCAGGATATTGTACACAATTTTAAGTATTAATAAAGATCTTAACCTACATATTTAAAAAATAAAATCACTAGGCCGGCAGGTAGTGTGGTAGTTGAGGGCACTGGACTCCCACATGGTCGACCACAGTTCGAGTCCCAGATCCAGGAGCTTACTTTCTCACTTCCCCTCCCTCTCTCTGTTACTCTGTCCCTCTCTGTTCAAATTGAAATATATATATATAAATACATAGCTCACTTTTTAACTTAATCATGGCAAAATAACAGGCATTTCCAGAGTGGAAAAGTTACTTGACATTTTTAACACCTATTCCCCTTGGAAACTGGGTACACAAACATGAGCCCGGGAAAAAAAGGAAAAAAAAAATTTATTTTTTGGGGGAGGTTTTTGATATAAGGCATGTGTACTTGTCAGAAAGACAGAGAGACAGAAAGAGAAAAATCACCCCCCAGGGAGGATGGCCACGCTGCAATCCCTTCTCCTCCATTCTCCTCTCGGGATCTTGGGCACGCACACACATGCGTTTAAGCCACTGGGTCCAAGACTTGAACCGTAGTCAACTACATGGGAGTCCACTGACATAGCCATTACACCATCTGCTGGTCCTGAAAAAAATTTTTTTCAACACCTTTTTCCACAGAAATGCTATGAACAAGGAGCAGACGCCAAGGCGGGCCTACATGTGAAACTCGTTTTGCCCCCTGCACCAAGCAGGGCAGTGCCCACCTCCCGTGCACGTGCGCTCGCACAGAAAACAACTTTGGCCTCGGGTGCGGCTGGCATCAGTCTGGGAGGAAGTGGAAGACCTATAAAAGTATAAATGGGAACAGAAGGAAGCTAAAAAAGGTTAAAATACATACTTCCCAAATTACCCAGCGCCTCCCCGCCGCGAAGGCGAAGGAGTCACTGACATGTAATGCCAGGGTGCGGAGAGTACTGGAGGGGACCTCAGGGGTCCTGCCTCGGCAGCAGAACCCGCTGCAGGTACTTAACAAGGAAAACGTGTTTCTGAGGACTCGGCGGAAAGCTTCTCCCTGTGCAATGAAGGTCCTCGGACCCGAGGAACACTGGCCCACTGAGGTGGCGGAGCGAAGGTGTCCACACCTCGGGGCCCACCCCCTGGCGTTGCCACACAGACGGTGTGCCGGCAACCCATGGGGTGCAGCCTACCGGGCCCTCCTGCTCCACCACCGTTCGCTGTCAGTGCAGGGCCGTCTGCACTCACCGCTTCGCTGCCCTCCCTGACAAGCACCAAGGAGCCCCTCCTTTCACAGTGCCGGCGACGTTCTTCCTCACTTCCCACTAGTAATGTGAGTATAACAATGCGCACGCAGACACGCGCACACACACGTGCACATGCGCACGCGCTCTCTCATAACAACAAGCAGCCACTTAAGAGATGAGACAGCAAAACTGTTGACTGGGTTATCTGGTGCAGTAAGCACCCAACTAATAAATGTTACTAGCAGAGTGAAAATTAGAGATAAAAGGAATCATAAACGTCTATTATGAGCCAATTCTTATCATTTCAGAATTGAGGAAAGTACCGCCATATGCTATTCGGTATCTGGACAGTACAACTCCAATTCTCGGCAGGAGGGTTATGTTGCTGGACTCCCGCCTAGTTGCCTACAGTCTGAGTCCCAGACCTGGTGGCTTAAAACTCACACTAGGCATGTGTGCGTGCATGCCCAAAATCCCGAGAAGAAATGGAGGAGAAAGGATTATGGGGTGGCCACCCCTCCAGGGATTTCTCGCTTTCTGTCTCTCTGTCTTTCTGGCGAGTGCCACGTACCCAACAGCAAAAATCTTTCACAAAAACAATAAATAAAAGCAAGTTGTTTCTGGGCAAATTATCACTGGCTGAAGCTGCCGGGGTGAGGAAGAACGGAACTGTGTACCACACTGCAGCACCCTGAAAGTAAAACGACACCTTACCTCAAAGCCTCGTTTTTAGATCTCACATTTTACTTAATTCCAAGTCACACGACAGCCAAGCATAATATTTATTTTTAGTAAAAGAGAGCTCAAGTTTTAAAAAGGCTGAAAAACGTCTGATTGTTGGGCTAATCTTTACTGAATGTCTACTTTCTGAAAGGCTTTGGCACTGGAGATGAGAGCTGAAGGGACACTTCTCCGTCCTCGGAGAGCTTCCAGTCTACAGAAAGACGCACAACCTGCGGGGCTCCTGCAGGGCTGAGTGCAGACACTGAGAGAGGATGACAATGCACCTGCCCTCGCCTCGGACCTGGGTGACAGCCAGAGCAGGCGGCCGACCCGGTACCTTCCCCGGCTGCCACCACCAGCCACTGTGTTACGCCCATCCTGCTAGTTCTCACGATAATCACTGGGTCCACCGCACAGAGGACTGTTTAGCTAAGACGGGCTGAAAACTATGTACAAAGTCACATGGCTACCAGCCCAAGGCTCTCGGAGGGGAAGCCAGGTCTGTCTGATCTCGAGCCCAGGCTCTACTCCATCCCCGTACTGTTATCGAAGATATTAAATAAATAAATAAAATTCTCAGTTAAAAGAAACCAGAGGCGACAGTTGAAATACACACACACATAAATACGCCGAGACCAAGCAGAAGTAGGTAAAGCGATCAATGATATTTACACAACACTAACCTCCCAAAACGGAAGTTGTCAGAATCAACTGCTTGTGTGACTGCTTTTGAGCCTAAATAAAAGTGCTAAAATGCAAGTAGCAAGAACGTTGGCTGGTTGGGGAAGTCGCGATGCATTTTTTTTGTGTAGAAAAATACATCACGACTTTCCCAACACCCTAATCCTTCCCCATTGGCTAATTCCGCAGAGCTGTCTTACACATGGAACAAAAGCGTAAACTACTGCTCTTCCCAAAGAAAGGAATAATTAAAGGTTCTCTTTTAAGGGGGGAAAAACCCCCAGAGAATTCAATTTAATAAAACAAAAAGAGAGAGGGCATGCCCTAGTAAGCACACAGAATGTGAGATACTTAGAATTACCTGACATTAAAGTGGAACCAGCGGCCTAGCCGCTGTAGTGTGGCAGTGACACAAGTACCCTGCAAGCTGGAAGCCATATAGCCAAGCACGGTTCGGATGCCTAGGCTGGCCTGAAAACATGCCGTGCACGCCATGTGGGCACCCAGACCCTGAAGAGGGCTGGAAGGCTGGGGAAGGTGAAGGGGGTGTGATGTGACCCTTAAGGATGCGTCTTTCTCTCTCGCTCCCCTGTGCACCCAGGCGCTATGATTAAAAAATTATAGTAATAAGGTTGGGTGAGTTCATCCTTTACCGTGTCACCGTGCTGCATGGCTCCTGGAGACACTACTTACATTCTCATCTTCTACTCTGTTTCCACAAACCACAAAGTGAATGGCGTCCCCTGGAGTTGGCCGACCTGAACTACGCGCATTCCCCAACTCCTCGTAAAAATATGCTACCCTAAAACATACTGAATGAGGGACCAGCAGTAAGCACAATGGCTATGTCGTTGGACTCCCATGTAGTCGACCGTGGTTCGCCTCCTGGACCCGGTGGCTTAAACTCACGCCGGGCGCGTGTGCGTGCATGCCCAGGATCCCGAGAGGAGAATGGAGGAGAAGGGATTGCGGCGTGGCCATCCCCCATGGCGGGGGATTTCTCACTTTCTGTCTCTCTGTCTCTCTCAGCAACCACACACACTCTATGGCAAAAAAAAAAAAAAAAAAAAAAAAAACCCTAAAGTAAAAGGGAAAATGA